CTAAGATAACCATTTAGCTCTGTGACCTTAGGCAAACTACTTAATCTGTTTTTATTTCAGTTTCCTCATCTGTGAAAGGGGCATAATGATACAACGTATTTCATAAGGTTGTTATAAGAAGTAAGTACGTCGAGCATGTGCGTGTCGCACACATGTGTGTGTGTGGTCATTTAAAAACTGTCTGGTAAATAATAATTTATAAATTATCAAGGGTTCATGAGGGAGGGGGGAGCGGGGAGGGAGGGGAAAAATGAGGACCTAATGCCGGGGGCTTAAGTAGAGAGGAAATGTTTTGAGAATGATGAGGGCAATGAATGTACAAATGTGCTTTACATAATTTATGTATGTATGGATTGTGATAAGAGTTGTATGAGCCCCTAATAAAATGATAAAAAAAAAGAAATATAGCTTAGAAAACCCTGTGTAGGCTCACTGTAAGTGGGAATTGACTCAATAGTAGTGTGTTTGGTATTGATTTATAGGAAAGTTTATTGAATATGCTCTTCAAAAATTACATTGATCTGGAAAGATAATCAAAAGATTAAAAAAAATGTTATGGATATAAAACAACAACAACAACAACAAAAAACAGTATCTGGCACCCAGAACAAAATCATACCCAATGTAAATTGGAAGGGGGTGGTGTGGAGTGGAGACTCAGGACACGGTTGGGTGTCCCCTTGCAGAGGGGTCATGGGGAAGAGATGAGCCAGTCAGGGTACAGTATAGCACCAATGAAACACACAACTTTCCTAGTTCTTAATGCTTCATTCCCTCCACTATCATGACCTCAATTCTGCCTTACAAATCGGATTAGACCAGAGCATGCACAGTACTACAGATGAGAGCTCGCAACACAGGGAATCCAGGATAGATAAACCCCTCAGGGCCAATGGTGAGAGTGGAGATACCAGGAGGTTGAGGTAAAGGTGGGGAAAGCAAGGGGGAATCGATCGTAAGGATCGACATATAACTCCCTCCCAGGGGGACAAACAACAGAAAAGTGGGTGAAGGACGACAGAGGATGATGTAAATATGAAAATAATAATTTATAGCTTATCAAGAATTCATGGGGGGGGGGATGAGCTGATATCATGGGCTCAAGTAGAAAGAACATGCTTTGAAAACGATGATGGCAGCATATGTACAAATGTGCTTGACACCATGGATGGATGTATGGATTGCGATAAAAAATGTAAGAGCCCCCAATAAAAGTATTAAAAAAACAAACAGTGTCTGGCATGTAACCAGCAAAATTTGTCAAATAAAATCTAAAATATAAGCTTGAAACTTCCCTTCAGCTATATTATGCTATTCAATAAGAACTTATAGAAAGCCAACTATTTTCACTGATCGTAATGTGGTCTTTACCTCAGTTTGCTCATTTGTGCTTCAGTTTACACATTTGCACAATGGGAATAATAATGGTACCTGCTTTTTATGGTTACTTTAAGAACTCAATGAGTTAATATATAGAGAGTAAATATATCTAAAGTACTTAAAACACTGCCTGTCAGAGAAGAAGCACTATATGAGTATTACAAGTAATAATTATTCATTTAAAAAAGGAGTTCTTGGCAAAACTCTTAAGAGTGTGCCATAAAATTATGAACTATTTTAATAGTGGTTACAATATAGCACTGATTCTAGAAACTAAGTCTATACCACAGTTAAAGAATTGAACATTTGATTCTTCAAACAATCACTCAAAAGAGCAAAAGTGGTAACGTTTAAGAATGGAAAAATTTCCCAGTCATTGGAAAGCTTTGAGATTTAGTGAACCTCAAAACCAGATTAATATTTTAATATGCCTAAATTTATATTTCTGAAAACAACTAATTGAGTTAATGTTTAAAATATATTTCTGTATTTTCCATAATATTTCTAAAGAAGAGGCAAGATAAAATCAAATTCTAAGTTGATGGGAAGAAAATTCTTTTTTGGAAGAGTGGATTTATCTCATGCCACCTTTGTTCATTGTAATCTCCCTAGAGTAAACTAAGAGAAGGAAGTTATAAGTGGATTCAGGTCTTGGGACAGAGAAAGTTATACCTCAACCATAATTTGTAAGGTTACAGGCGTCTGATCTGATGAAATAAAGGAGTCATGAAAAGAATCAGACAAGGAGAAGTCCTAGTATGAGCAGGTCCATGCTGGACTCCCACACCGAATGACTAGAGAACAATGAAGAATACAATTCTAAGAGCAATAACAGTGGAATTCTAATGCTGCAATGACAATCAATACTAGTAGAATATGCAGTGGGAGGAGATGGGGATTCTTTAATATGATAGAAAAAGGATAAGATAAGAAAAAATAGGAATCTTAGCTGAAAAGATGGGGCTCGATATATAAACGTCTTTGGGATTCAATGAGAACACTATAAAGCTATAAGTGATAAGGGCTAAGGTCTAGAGGAAATCCAAATGGGTAAAAATGGACTAAGGTCTTGAAATTCATGTCAAGAAAAAATATGGAATTCTGAGTTTGAAAGAACAAGATATAGTGGGCAAGCCATTTCAAGGATACAGAAGGAATGATGTGCTTCCCAGTGTGGCAGGACAGGGGACAAGAAGAACCCCCAAATTTATGAGAGTGGTGGCTTTAAAAGACAGAATAAGAAAGCCCTATCAGGAGGGGTTGGAAATAACATTAGAAACCTCAGTGGACAGGGATGGGGTTCCCTAGTTTAAAATGATAGCGGACAAATGTAATCCTATAGGAAAAGAAGATGAAATAATATTTAGGAACCCCAAAGGAAAGAGACGGGAAAATGTGGGGCTAAAAGAAGAGGCCTGTAGAAGAGGAAAAGAACAGATTAAAAGGGCCATTTGGAGAAATACGGGAGAGATTATTGGAAACCTCATAGAACGATGTCACAGACGGCGTTGTTTTTCCTCACAATATTCTTATACCTGTGGTTATATCTCCACTTAAGAATGGGTTTTCTATGTAATGCAGATGAGGCAATATTAATGTAGGGTGCTTTTGAAATATAAAAGCAGATTAAATCAGAAGGCATAAACAGAGAAGATATATGCTATGTGTTGCCAAAAAAACCTATGACTAGAAAGTGAAAAGAAACAAGGAATCTCCCTCCAAGCAGACACAGAGAGACAACGCTTTCCCCAAGAGCTGGAGCCCTGGATTTAGACTTGTCTCCTAAACTGAGAAAATACATTTGTTGAGTAAAGCCACCTACTTGTATTCTGTTACAGCAGCACTAGATAACGAACAAGGTAACAGAGAGTGGGGTACTACTCTAATAAATACCTAAAGTGTGCAGGTGTGAAAGTGGTTTTAGAATTGGGTAACGGATAGAGGTGTGAAGACTTTTATGGTGCCTAATAGTAAAAGTAAGAGGCCTGGTAGTATGGTGGGTTAGGCCTTAGAATGGTAGCCACTAAGTCAGTGGTTCAAACTCACCAGTTGCTCTGTGGGAGAAAGATGAGGCTTTCTGCTCCCGTAAAGATTTATAGCCTCAGAAACCCTAAGGAACAATTCTACTCTGCCTTATAAGATCTCTATGAGTCAGAATCCACTCAATGGCAGTGGGTGAGTAGTATTAAGAACCTAGGTAGCCTTTAAAAAATCCTGGATTGGGATTTATACATTCCTAAACCGTGACAAAATAATGTTTTGTTTGTTAAAGCCACCTACTAGCGGCACATCTGTAATAGCAGCGCTAGCAAACTAAAACAGAAGGCATAGGAGAATCCTAGTGTGAGAAGATGGCGAGGAAGTACAGACCATAGTGTGACAAAAGCAGGGCCACTAGTATGAGGTACAGAAATGGTGTGGGGCTGCAAATGGGAAGTAGTGTGGGTTCTTCAACCAGTGAGGTAGATGGCTATGGGAAACTCAAGTATGAATAAACCAGGGGATCTAGTATGAGAGAACAAGATGGATTAAAGGACTCCCACCCAACTACAGAAGATGAGAAATGGTGAAGCCCACAGATAAAGAGAACGGAGGACTTACCATTGTATAAACAGATAGCATCCCAGTGGGATAGGACAGGGTGTACTGTGGGGTCCCAAGTGGGAGATGTGACACTGTCCAGCCAGCATGAAAGGATTGTGGAAAAAAGGATGGATCACCATGTGAGTAAAGGAGAGGTCGTAAGAGAGGACTGAATGTATATTGGGGTTCATAAAGGAGGAGGAGATAAGAGCTTTAGTACACAGTGGGCTAAACATTAGGATGTTAGCCATAGGTGGGTGGTTCAAACCCACCAGCTACTCTATTTGAGAAAGATGAGGTTGACCGTTCCCATAAAGATTTACTGCCTCAGAAAACCCTAAGGAGCTGTTCTACTGGGTGCTGTAGAATTACTAGGAATCTGAATTGATTTGACGGGCGAGCTATAGGAGGGCATAGGGAACCTTGGTGGTATAATGGTTAAAGTGCTCTGCTGTGAACCACGGGGTTGGAACCTATCAATCATTCCCCAGGAGACAGATGGGCTACTTTGCTTCCATGGAAACACAGTGGGGGGTGGGAGGATAGTCTGCTCTGCCTTGGAGGGTCACCGTGAGTCAGAATCCACTTGACGACAGCAGTTTGTATTTTGTTAGTATAGGTTTTATTTTGCTTTGCTGGTATAGGCGAGGGAGATTCCTGGTGGTAGAGAAAATTTCAGGACAGGGGCTATGTTGTTTCTTCTGCTAGGCAGGGTGGAGGTCCCCAGTAGAAAAGCATAAAGCACAGATGTTTGTTGGAGGAAAGGGAGGGGGCTCCTAGTGGGTAAAGTCAGAAAATTATTGTGGGCAGAGCCATGAAATAATGTAAGAAATCCTAGGTGGGAGGCGATGGCAACATGGTGGGACCCCAAGGGGCAGACGCAGAAAAGATTGTGGGAGGCCGGAGGTTAAATAGGGACGTGGAGCTCTCCAGAGAGCGAAAGGAAAACTGCCGGATGGGGGCCGAGAACGCAGGGAGAAACCAGTGTGGAGGGTACGGAGTACCATTTCCCCGCCTTAGTGCCCAGTCCCACTTACCCAAGCAGAGCTCAAAGACGTAGGCATAGTAGGACCAGAGCACGACAAGGACGATAACGAGCACTGGCACCCAAGACAGTACCCGGCGGCAGCACCGCAGGCCCCCAGCCAGAGCCATCTTCCAGCTCCGTCGCATCCTCGGCTCGAAGATCGATGGAGCAGGCCTGACGCTGGGTCGGAACGGCGCGGACGGCGGCCGGGAGACGGATAGGCGCGTGGTGCGGCGCTCCACTGCCTCGCCTGGCAGGGACTTCTTCCCCAGCCAATACCACCTGTGGTGCGCACGCCAGCGTGCCCTGGGCTAGGAACTGGAGGTTTGCAAGGTAGAAATGGTCTTCTGGAAACCCAAGATGGCCAGTAAAGGTGTAGAGGCCTGACACTGCTAGGTCTAGGAGTGCAGTCCCTCCTCTTTCCGCCCCCTGTCACCCTGTCAGCTACAATGCTTGATGCAAAGTGGAAGGAATTTGGGTCCTCCCCATTTGCTCTTACTCCACCGCTGCCCTCTTGTATCTCCTCGCTGACCTCTGCCTCTGACTGCAAACACTCCGTCTCTGTCTCTCTTACACACACACACACACACACACACACACGAATCAACATACAAATAGTGTAAAAATAGTGCCAGTTCTAGTATCTCGAGACTTAAAGATCATCCAGCCTCGTTTTCCTACTTGCCAATATCACTGCAGTGTAAGCCTGGTGATAAGGAGTTCCCTCCTTCCCTCTCTCTCCCTCCCTGCTGAGTTAGCCTAGTTCATTTTCAGAATAAATAAATGCATTGCTACAGAGGAACTGGTGAAGGAGGCACTGATTATTTGAGGGATCCGGGAAAACTACGATGATGCTGATATTTAAGCTAAGCATGAATAACCAGTAGGAGTTTGCTAATTACTTATATAGACCCCAAAGGGAGGATCTGCCTGATAGCATATTTCTAATTGGACATTTTACACCTAGTTTCTATCCAGAGGTTGGTAGCTCAGGATGAGCTATAGACAACTGAGACTTGAGACCCTGCCCTTTCAAGGTACACAACACTCTTCATACACCACACCAAAAGGATCTGATTTGGAAACCCCTCTAATTGAACTGGACTTCACCTCAAACTTAACTGTCAGGTTGAAGGAACTGAAATACTCCTTTGGACGAATGGCTGAAAGACCCTCGTGTTAGAAGAAGTAGATGACTGCTCTCCAAAGCTTATGAATTTGGTGGTCATTTGGTTCAGATTTCTTCCTTTGAGGGTGCCCAATGTATTGATTGGGAATACCATATATTTACTACTTGCAGACTCTCTTAATTTTTCATGACATGTGTTAGTCTAGCAGGCCTTTGTGAATTAGTGTTATTGAAAGTTTTGGCTTCTCCCTACCCCTCACTGTTTGTATAAATAGTGCCCGGTCACTTAAGACTTTAATCTGCACAAGTCAACAATTCATGAACTGTGGTCTAAAATGATGGTCTATACATGTATAATTTCCTTTGTTCAATATTGTTATAAATTATACATCACTATCTAAACTAATGGTACTATCAATAGAATTACCTTATACTACATGAAGATGATTATTAATATTCTCTAATAAAATGTCACTGCTGTCTCTAAAACGAACCACGGATATATATTAATGGACTTTGGGTTCACACTTAATCATAGCCTAGTTTAAGAAAAATGGGTTCTTACGACATGTCCCTATGAGGTCACTGGAGATATAGGTGCTATAGCAAAGAGTGTTGAAGAAACCAGACAGCGCCCGGCTATCAGAAAGAATAGCGTCTGGAGCTTAAAGACCTGTCTTCAAATAAGCAACCATCTAAGTTAGGCATCAACTAAGTCCACATGGAAGAAGTACATCTCTCCTGTGTGATCCAACGATTACTATTGTGGTTATGTGCAACTGAGTCAGTTCCAAGCCACAGTGACCCTATGTACAACAGAACAAAACACTGTTCAGTGCTTCCCCATCCTCACTATTGGTCGTCTGCTTGATCCCATTGCTGCAGCCACTGTGTCAGTCCATCTTATTGAGGGCCTTCCTCTTTTTCACATGCTTTACCAAGCATGATGTCCATCTCCAGAGACTGGTCTCTACTGGCAATACGTCTAATGTATGTAAGACAACATCTTGCCGTTCTGGCCTCTAAGAAGCACTTTGGCCCTTACGTCTTCCAATACAGATTGGTTTGTCCTTTTAGCCATCCATGATACTTTCAATAGTCTTCGTCAGCACCACGATTCAGATGCATCCATTCTTTTTCTGTCATCCTTATTCAATGTCCGACGTTCACATGCATATGAGGCAATGAAAATACTGTGGCTTGGCACATCCTTGCTCTTCAATACTCTGAAGCGGTCTTGTGCAGCACATTTACCTAATGCAACACATCTTTTGATCTCTTGACTGCTGCTTCCATAAGCATTGATGTGGATTCAAGTAAGACAAAATCCTTGACAACATCAACCTTTTCTTGAATATTTGGTCTTCGTTACATTGATTTGAAATCCATATTGAAAGCTGTGATCCTTGATCTTCATCACCAAGGACATTAAGTCACCCTCACTATCAGCAAGCAAACATGTGTCATCTGCATATAGCAGGTTGTTAATAAGCCAGTACTGATGCCACACTCATCTTCTTATAATCCAGCTTCTCTGATCATTTGCTCAGGATACAGATTGAATAATTATTATAAAAGGACACAACCTTGATACACACCTTTCTTGGTTTTAAACCATCCAGTATTTCCTTATTCTGATTGCACATGTAATGCCTAGGGTACCTATCTTTATGTGTTCCATTTCATTTTGACCACTTCCAATTTTCCTAGATTCATAGTGGGTATATTCCAACTTTCTATTATTAGCAGATTTTTATAGCTGTTTCTTCCTCCCTTGAGTTGTGTGTCCTTTCAGCAAATGAAGATCTCAAAGGCTCCACTCCAACAGGTCTTAATCCATTCATGTCACAATGGTGGACTCTACTTTGAGAAAGTAGGTCCTCTTGTTCACATTTTGAGTGCCTTCCAACCCAAGGGGCCTGTCCTCTGGCACTATCTCTGGCAATGTTCCACTTCCACTCAGCAGCCCTTCGCTATTTGACAATGTTTCAAAGCGATACATAAGGTTTTCAGCAGTTACTTCCTTCGAAGTGAGCAGTCAGTTCCTTCTTGGTTGTCTGCACTTAGTCTGGAAAATTCCTCTGAAACCTGTTCACTTGGGAGACCCTCCTGGCATTTGAAATACCAGTGACATAGCTTTCAGTATCACAGCAACTCACAAGCCACCATAGTATGACAAACAGACAGACAACTGGTGAGATCTAAGGATTATAAATAATATAATCCAAATATGGAGGAGGGAATGGTATCAGAGATTCAATTCTGAACAGCCACTTTGCAGAAAGCTATGGATGACAGTGGAAACCCAAAATCTATTTGCAGGATCCCTACATGTATTAAGTCTCTGATCATATTCCAGAATTGTGAAGAGCACTGCTGTCATTCAGAGTACATTTGGAAAGTGAATTATGATGCAGTTAGGTTAAAATCTCCCTTTTGACCCACTTGTAATTTCTTCCAGTTTTTAATATTGCATGCTTTCATTTCAATTGGGTTTATATCTGTTTTGTTTTGTCATTGTTGTTTGGAGTTTCTTTGTCTCTTGATTTTATTTTGTATATATTTCTGTATAGGAAATCTGGGGTAGGTAAATCTATTGAGTCAAAAACTGGATTAATAATTGCCTAGGGGTCTGGCAGGGGATACAGGGGGAAATGGGAGGTCAACAATAGTGAGTACAAGAAAGAGAGAAATATTCTAAAATTGATTGTAGTGATGATTGCACAACTTTTTTTTTT